GATACTTGTTCTACTATGGAAACAGTTTGATTGAATGGACTAGTCAAAAGCAAACTATTGTGGCTATGTCTACCGGAGAAGCTGAATGTGTATCAGCACAAAGTGCCAGCTATGAGCTCTACTGGATTATTCATCTACTGAAAGACTTCGGTATAAATGAACCAAAGCCAATAATACTTTTTGGAGGACAATCAAGTTTCTATCGCCATCTGCAAAGGTGAAGGGACCAAATCTAAAAACAAGACCATCACACTCAAATGCCACTATGTGAAAGAGCTGCAAGACCAAGGACTGATTGAACTCCAATACTGTCCTACTGATCAGATGATTGCCGACATCCTGACCAAGCCGCTTGACAAGCAGCGTTTTGAGACTCTTCGTGAATGTTTGAATCTGCATGACTTTCGTCTTATAGCTTGAGAAGGGGTGTTGGGTATTACAAGTTGAAAACACTCAGTATATCTGGGGTTAAATGTTTGTTTATGTTACTCACAGGAAGTCACATGTTTCTCATGTAACCAATGTTCTTTAGATGTAGAAAGCCCAGGAATTTTCTCCCTGATCTAGGAATTTGATTGGAACTAAAGTGTCAAGGTGTATTCCCATTTTATGGCTTCTCTTCCCGTTTTTGTTTTGGTGTTCTAAGGAACAAGAAGAGTAGCCATACTCTCTCTCTTCTAGTTTTGTCTTTGTAGAGTAAGGATGTAGTAGATTATGCTCTGTTGTTATTTTCATCCCAGTTACCCTTCCCATGCTAGAATTTAGTAAAAACTTTATATTTTAATCACACATGGACTCTCAGTCTGAATTATTTTACTTTGGCTCTGCTGGACTATCTTATCTCTGCTAAATACCATTTTTTCAATATCTCACTATCACCCAACACATTCAGACAAAACGTGAAACTCAAAGCAGAAAGTGGCGTTCTACGCAACAGGAATCTGCGCGAAACTTGTGCCGAAAACAAGCAGGGCAGCTTGCTAGAGCAGGAGCGCCTCCAAATTGCACGCGAGAACGGGAAGGGCTACGGGAAGAAAGCGGGCCGGGACAGAGCAGAGGGCGCGGATTCAAGAGCCAAACACAGGCCACATCCGGCTCAATACACGAACATCGGCTACTTTCTCAGGCGACCTGAGTGTGTTCTTCTCTCTCGCTCACTCACGAGAATCTCGGCATCCCGCGGGTGAGCAGGAAGACCTATGAATTCCTGCGCTGACTTCTCCTAGCAGACTTTTCTGCTGGGCTGCCTGGACTGAGGGATCTCCCTATAGATGGACTGGAGGCCAGGTCTGCTTCTAAGCAGCACCCACCAGGTGCCTTCTTGGGCTTGATGGGAAATGCCCGGGGAAGCGACAGAAGTCTCCCACTCCCCGCCGCCGCTGTATTCGCTGGCATCCTTGCAGTCTATCCGCCACCTTCCTTCCTGCGGCACCGGAGCTCTCTCCTCCACTAGGCTCTTTCCCGAAGCCAACGTCGGTATTGCTCCTCGGCTAATCCCCTGCTCGCTCCCCTTCGCGAGGAAGGCAGAGCGCGGGGTGACGGGGAGCTCTTGTTGACCGGGACGTTCCTGCTCAGGCCCCATGCTTTCCACCCAAGCACCGTGGCCCGGCGGCACTGAAGGGAGAGGCCCCGGCACGAGATCTCAAACGCAAAGGCGCGAAAGCCAAGGCAACCCACCCTTCTGCTCTAAGGCAGCCGCCAAACTGGACCTCCCGAAGCAGCACAGTTTGCCCTGGGTTGTCGTCAGCCAACCCTTGACGTCTTTTGATCCCAAAGAGCCCCCAAGATTTGTGGCAGACAGGCAGCTCCGGAGGATCCGGCTGCCCTGGCTGGAACGCTCAGCCCGCCCGCCTCTGCCCCAAAGCTCGGGGAAGCCGTCCCTCCCTTCAGGGTAGACTGCAGGAGCTTCCCTCACCACGTTAGGGGAAAAGACCGGGGGTGGGGGGTGGGCACCACACTACATTTGCTGCTGCTGCCGCCAGCGATCGCCAACCGAGAGCGACGGAGAGCGTCAAACTAGTCCGGGTGACTCTGAGTAGCTCTTCCACCCACGCGCTCGGGCCGAGAGAGAGAGAGAGAGAGAGAGAGAGAGAGTCAGAGCTCGCCCAGGGGTACTTACAGTTTCCCCTTCGATCTCGGGAGCCGGGTGGAAATCTTTGCATTGCTCACATCCGTTAGTAGCACCAGGCTCTTCAGCCGGGGACGGCGGCTCGCCAGCCATGCGCATGCGTCCGGAGCTAGGCTAGACGCCTCGGTTTGTCGAAGCTTCCACGCATGGGCTTGGCCTTCCTCTCTCCCCCTCCTTTCGTTTTCAGTCCCCCAAATGTCCCGGGCCCCCCTGAGCGCCTCTGACTACGGGGAGGGCCAGCAACCGCTCGAGAAGACGGAGTGTGAAGGACCACCGAGGCCACTCGGCGCCCAGAGGAGGCCGCGGCAGCGTCTCTCCTTTCAGGACCCTGGACAGTTCCAGGCAAGCCGCTCAGTTGACCGGCTGTTGGCACCGGACGGGCGGTGGGGGCTGCTGCTTCCCCTCCCCCGACCTGCCCCGTGGAGCGCCTCGCCCCGGTGGGCAACACAGCCCGGCACGTGCGCGCGCGATTGCCAGCCGGCCACTCGACATCTGGAGCAACAAACATCTGCCACAAACACATTGTGGAAGCAGATGGGAGGGGGGAGGGAGAGGGCAAGGGGGCGGCGGCTCTAGCCTCTGTTTCGACCCCCCTCCCCCTGGGAGGAGAAAGGGTGGCATAAACAAGCGTGTTTGTGTCGGAGGGAAGCGGGGGAGGGCCGCAGCTCTGGGGCTGCGGTGGTGTGCACTGAGGTTTCCTTCCAAAGTCCTCCCCCACTTTTCGTAGGTCCTCTTTTTCTTATGTTCTGATCTATTATGATGATGATGCCAATCCAAAAAGCACCACCCACCACAGAAACCACGGAGTCGTTTACCAGTCGCTAACTTCATTTTATCTTCCCTTGCCATTCCCCCCCAGAAGACCTCCCGAAGCAGCACAGTTCCCTGTGGCGGGAAGCACCTCTCTTGAGAGCTTTGCCTCGGCGTGTCAGGCAGTCTGGCTTTCAAACCTGGAGACTCTAGGAAAGCAACAGTCTCCATGGGGGCTGGCTACAGGAAATTCCTGCAACCGGTTTGCTGGGGGGGGGGGAGCCAGGTGAACGAGCCTCTTGCCAAAGAGATTTCACATTACAATGATCTGGCTACCAAGTTCCGCTGAAGCTGGCTGCTTTCGGACTAGCAAGGGTTTTTTTTAGCCCCCACTTCTGAGAGAGGGAGGGGCGCGATGTTTCCCCTGAAACTGGAATTGATCCGAGACATAAATAACCCTGGCGTCATTTCCTCTGGCTTCGCAGGAGCTGGAATCAGGACTCCCTGGTTACCGAGAGAGGCGGGCGCGTTCACAAACAGCCGCGGGGCTAATGACAGCTCGCTTCCTGTTTTGATTGGCGCAGAAACCCTAGATTCGGAAAAGAAAAACAGCCATCCTCAGTCCCCCTCCCTTCCCACCTCGAGGCAGATGGGGCGAAAACGATGAAGCTGTTGCTTCCTGCTGCTCCTCTCACACCTACATCTAATAAGTGGCTCTGCCAAGTCAAAGGCCAAATCTACATATGCATTTTAGAATCAGCTTGGTGCCGCTGTTATCCCATGTGGTTTAGAACTGCTGCACCTCTGCTTTCAAGTTAGCATTAGGGGAGCTGTCCACTGTCTTTTTTTCCAGTTATCTAATCACAATCTATTGTTCATCACTAGATGGCCCCTGGGGGTAACTGGAGTGTTCTGGGACTGGAATGAGAGGCCCCACAGTGGAATGGTAGCCCCTGAGGAGTATTCTGGGACTGGAATAACCGGCTCCAGAGTGGAATGATAGCCCAGGGGGTAGGAGATGTGTCCCGGGACTGTAATGATAGGCCTGGCATTCCAGTTCCAGGACACTCCTCTTACTCCAAGGGGATGTCATTCCACCATTGGGCCTGTCATTCCACTCCCAGAACACAACTGCTACCCCGAGGCTGCTACCCCCAGGGGCTGTCATTCCACTCCGGAGCCTATCATTCCATTCCCAGAACACTTCTGTTACTCCTAGGGTCTGTCATTCTTACCCCTGTAAACTTACAAATGAGAAACACCATGACTATAAGGCAGGAATTGCAATTCTTTGAGCCAAATGCAAGCTCTTACTCGAAAAAAGCTGCTGACTGTGCATTGCCCAGTCATATTCAGTGATTATAAATTTAATAAACAGATAAATTTCAAATAAATTTTTTTGAGGACTGGTACATAGTGATGAGTAAAAGCAGCCATGCAGGAATCAAACCAACAATACCCTGATTTACAGGGCAGGAATTTACCCACTGAGCTAAACACAAGGTCTTATGTTTTACTGCTGAGTGTGCCTCCTACAGCTCGAAGTAAATCCCCCCCCCGTGAACTTAAAATGTAAAAGGGGTCAAGAAATAAAAGCTTCAAAACAAGATAAAAAGTTTTTAAATTATTTTTGGGCCTAGCTAGTAAAAAGAGAAAAGAGTACTGTTGGAATCGAACCACGAGTTACCGCCTAGTTTTTTGTGCACCACCTGTTGGAATTATTTAAGAATTAGCTCAAAAATGTCTACATTAGGTTGACAGCGCAACAAAACCAGAAAGGAGGGGTTAGAGCAGCAAAGAACAGCATTCATTTAAACCAGTGCAGAGCGGCTATGACAATGGAGTCACTACCAGAGGGCGGGAAACATATGTAGACACTGATTTTTATACTGGTGCACTACCAGTATGAAACCGGATGCAAATGTAGACAGTTTCTTGGGGGATGGGAGCGAAAGTGTCAGGAAACCTGGAAATCAGCAAGAAACACACATGTGAATTCGACCGAAGTTTCAAAGCGACAGATCTAAAGGCTGCCCTTACCAGTTGTTCCCATTTAAACCAAAGGGATTTGTTAGCACAAGGAAGTTTAGGATTCTGGCCGCAGGCTCATGTGTCCATTCCTCTTCATGCACTTTCACTCAATGACTGCCAGTTTTTTTCCAGGCTCATCTCTGAAATCGGCCTCCAAATCTTAAAGTGTGAAGTAGCAATAACAAAATATGTGTTTCCAAGCAGAGAATTTTGCCTGATCACTAAGTATGGCAGCCCATCTAGGTCACTGGGTGGCCAGTTTGGTGTAGTGGTTAGGAGCACAGACTTTAATCTGGGAGGAATGGGTTTGATTTCCCACTCCTCCACATGCAGCTGCTGGGGTGTGACCTTGGGTCAGTCATAAGTTCTCTCAGAGCTGTTCTCACGGGCAGTTCTTGAAAGAGCTTTCGCAACCCCACCTATCTCACAGAGTGTCTGTTGTGGGAAGGGGAAGAGGTTGTAAGTGAAGGGCAAGGTATAAATCCAATCTCCTCCTCTTCCTCCTCCTTCTATGGTAACAGGATACATGGCTGAGCTTGAGCATGGGCTCACCAGAGGTCAGCCCCAGAGCCTGTTCTCAGTGCAAGGGACCGGCCTGTTCAGGTCCCTGCTTTAGTTCAGTCACAGTCACTCCGCCTATCCTATTTACTTCATTGCTATCCCACCTGTCTCTGCAATGGGGACCCAAAGCAGCTTACATCATTCTCCTCTCCTCCATTTTATCCTCACAGGAACCCTGTGAGGTAGGCTAGGCTGACAGAGTGTGACTGGCCCAAGGTCACCCAGGGTCACCCCCTGCATAAGGGGGATTTGAACCTGACTTTCCCAGATCCTGATCTGACACTTTAACCACTACGCCATGCTGGCTCTCTGAAAAGCACTCACATACAGGTATAAATATGCAGATCTGAACAGATATACAAATAACTGCCTTGGGGGGGGGGCATATCAGTAGCACTTCCATACCCACAGGCAGTCTACCTCTGAACTCCAGATGGTTGGCATAACATATGAAGGGTATTGCCTGCTCGTCTTCTGCTGGGATACTCTTGGAAACAGAGTACTGGGATCTGTGGGTCAGATCCAAAAGGACTCTTCATTCTCCTATTCTGCAATGGGTATGAGTTCCAGATAAACCATCACCTTTATTCTCAGAAATGAGCTGCCAAACAAAAACAAATTTTTTGCTGAATGTGGATGACCTGCTGCTATTTCCCCCCAAGAGGAGTGGTACTCACATCAATGGGTTGTTTGGGGTGGGTCCCAGGTTTCCCAAATGCTGCTGCTTTACATTTAGGGCATCTTAGAGTTTCCAAGGAGATGCAGCTGCGTGAGGCCAGCTCGACCAAGAGGCCTCCTAGCAAGGTGTCGAGTGGACCCAGTGCTGCTGCTTCCCTCCGGAGCAGAGTCCCCTTTTGGAAGGGTGAGATGAGACAGAAGGCAGCAGCTGGAGAAGATGGAAAAAGGAGAGGGTGGCGGGACAGAGGCTGAAAGGAGGGCCTGGAAAAAAGAGGGAAAGTTGGCAGAAGGGCTGAAAGGAACTGGGGGATCTGGAGAGAAGTATGAAAGAGTGGAAGGAAAGAGAGAGAAACATGAAACAAAGGCTAGAAATCTGAAGCATGATTAACAGTTGGTGTAACGATACCGTACAGCAGGGCTTCAGACAGACTTGGGCCCCACTTGCTCTAGAGCACACCAAGTGAGTGTGGGCCCCACACATCTGCTAGGCTCCTGTTCTCGCTAAAGCAGATTGTCATAGTAATGGGAGAAGGAGTTTAACTGAAAACTAGGAATTGTATGAAAATATGTGGCGCTTTACCTTTTAGGGCATGGTAGAGCTGCGGTGGCTCAAGTGGTTAAGACGCTAAACTGCAGGCTGTGGAAGGTCAGTAGTTCAGCAGTTCGAGACCTGGGTGCCGCATGATGGAGTGAGCTCCCATCTCTAGTTCCAGCTCCTGCCAACCTAGCAGTTCGAAAGCAAGAAATTGCAAGAAGATAAATAGGTACCACTTCGGTGGGAAGGTAACAGCATTCCATGAGCCTTGGTGTTTAGTCATGCTGGCCACATGACCACGGAAACGTCTTCAGAAAGCGCTGGCTCTTCGGCTTTGAAACAGAGATGAGCACCGCAACCCTAGAGTCGGATTCGACTGGCTTTCGAGCAAGGGAACCTTTACCTTTTTAGAGTCATATGCTTTCAATCACGCGCTTTAGCATTGAATTGGAAGTTCAGAAGAAGTATGTTGCCCTGACCTAGATAGCACAGGCAAGCCCAAACTTGTCAGATCTTGGAAGCTAAGCTAGTTTGGATG